GCTAATTCATGTGTTAGCTTGCAAATGATGTCTCAATTTATAGAGAAAAGGTTTGGAGGCTTGTAGATGTTAGAAGTACAAGATCACATGTTTGTGGATTTTTACTTGTTTTTGAAGTAACTTGGACACACATGGTTTCAAGGCAAGGTAGAGTGGCTAGCAAATTTAAACATGCTTTCTCTGAACTTGTTAAGGATGCTTGTGCAGAAAGAACAACTACAAAGCTCAAGGAGAGTGGACTTTGTGATTAAAGCCACTTTTCCAAAATGGAAGTGTAAACTTTCTTTCATTAATGGAAATTTGGTTTGGATAATGGTTCAAATATTTGTGTAAACCATTAATTATGGATTGAAACATAAGTTAGAATCCTGCAAAACAAGATTATGTAGCATGGCTTATGGATTTGGTTATGTGTTCATCACAAAATTGACTTGTAATTCAAGTTTGAAACCCTAACTTCATCTCTTCGATTCTCCTAGCTCAAAAATGATCTCATTGAGTTCTTGGACATTTTGGAAATCTTGAAACATCCTCTATAACTTTCATGTTGTCCATTTTGACAAAATCATCTTGGAGATTGGTGAAAATTGGCCAAGAAGTTTGGTCAAAAGCTGTCTAAACTAGGTCAAATTTTCACAAAGTGTCATATGAAAAAGTGCATGACTTCATGAATTTATAACTCAAGATCCAAGCATTTATAGGACTTGATAAGTAAAGAAAATTTGTAGATCTCATCAAGATCTACAACTTTCATGGTGAAAGTTTTCCTTGCATCATTTTTCATTATGGTGAAAAAATGTCATGAAGTTATGAAATTATCATGCTTAAGACACTTAAAAAATTTTCTAAGTCTTGAAAAGTTTGAATTTTCAAAATGACTTTTGAATTTCTTGATTTCTTGATGATTAAGCTTCACATTTTTGAATGCCTTGATGAATTGTGATCTTTCAAACTCAATTTTGACCAAAAAGTCAAATTTTGACTTTTGGTGTATCAGTTTACTTTTAATTAGTTGACTGAATTTCAACTATCAATCAATTGATCTTGAGAAATGTTTTGAGCCATGAAATTAGGTCAACATGTTGTATTCGAATCCTTGAGATTGTGCTTCGAACCATAAGATCATGTATTAGGTCAAATGTCCCTAATCAGTCAAATACAACCAAAACCCTAATTTTGACCATTTTGCCATTTTGGTGAATTGAGCATTTTTCTTGGGGAATTGTGATCCAAACTTTATCAATTGACACATATGACTTCGAAATATTGATACTGGTCAAAAATCTTGAATTTTGACTATAGGTTGACCACAGTTGACTTTTTATCCAATATAGTTGATTTTGGGTCATTTGATCAATTGACTGAGCAATTTTGAGATGCAAGACTTGAATCTTGACATGAGCATTCTTGAAGTTCCCTAATGATCCATGAAAGTCAATTGAAGCATTATAAGTCCAAGTTTCCTTGTGAAAGTCCAAACGCCAATTTGAGGCATCAGTGTTGAGGAGATGGTTTGACCTAGTCAACACTTGTGCAATCTTGAAACATTGAAGGTCTTTGTGAGGAATGTCTTGAGAAAAGAGAGGGTGAATTTTGGGGTACAACACATTTATAGATACAATGCAGATACAATCAAGATACATATTCATTCTGACACTCATTCCAAATCCACTTCTAGATACAATTCAGATACAATCTATATACAGATTAATTTTGACACTCATTCCAGATCCATTTCTAGATACAGTGAAGATACAATCAAGATACAAATTCATTCTGACACTCATTCCAGATCCATGTCTAGATACAGTTTAGATACAATCAAGATACAGATTCATTCTGACACTCATTCCAGATCCATTTCTACATATATTTCAGATACAATCAAGATACAGATTCATTCTGATACTCATTCCAAATCAACTTCTAGATACCGTTCAGATACAGTCTAAATATAGATTCATTCTGACACTCATTCCAGATTCACTTCTAGATACAGTACAGATACAATCAAGATACATATTCATTCTGATAATCATTCAACACATCTTCTAGATATAGTTCAGATACGATCAAGATACAAATTCATTTTGTTACTCAGATACAGTTCAGATACAGTCCAGGTATAGTTATCATTCTGATACCCATTCAATACATCTTCAAATACAATCAAGGCATAGATTTATTCTGACACTCCCCAGCTTTAGTATGCTTTTACCATAAATCACCGACTAACAACCTTTTCCTAGTGAAGTTGCCACTATCCTCAGAGAGTTTATATGGAACCTGGAATCAAATCAAATACCAGTCAACCTTATCTTACCCAGATAAGTCAGAAGGTTATACACCTCTTCCATCCCCAGCCAGGGTATAAATTCCCCAATAAAGCAATGAACAACCAATGTTCTTAAATTCTTCTCCCCAGGCAGGAATTAATACTCTCCAACCGAGTTTCCTCAAACAAAGAGAAAAAATCAATGTTCCCCAGCGGAGTTTCCTCAAACCAGCAAGCAGGGATCCCCAGCGGAAACAATCCCCAGAAGATCAAAGATACACATACTCTTCATCCCTAGCGACAGTCAGGAATTTATTTTCCCCAGACAAAGATGCTGCTCGAATTTACAAATGCACTTCAAAAACATTCCATATTCATACATAATTTACAAAATACCATAGCATATGCATACAAAACGCATATAGCACAATCTCATTTATTTGAGAACATCATTGCGTAATGCATTTCATACATCATGCCATTGTATACAACTAACTCTTTACCTTTTCAGGAAAGATTAATCAATAAACATCATTAACTACTTATATGACCTGACAGTCTTTTCAAAGGCTACGTCGGACGAAGGGCTTTTCCATATTTTCCTTAGAAGGTCATTCTCAAACAGACATCTGCTGGTTCAGTTTAAATCGATAATGATTTATCCTGCTTCGTTTCCAATAGATCTTTCTCTGGTTCCGTTTAAATCAACCCAATAATTTATTCTGATTCTTATCCAATTAAATACAATTCAAGACCTCTGTTGGTTCAGCTTAAATCGACCAATGATTTATCCTGATTCGTTTCCAATAGATCTTCGTCTGGTTCAGTTTAAATCATCTCAATGATTTATTGTGATTCTTATCCAGTTAAAGACAATTAAAAACCTTTGTTGGTTCAGCTTAAATCAACCAATGATTTATCCTAATTCTTTTCCGGTGGACTCTTTCTCTGGTTCAGTTTAAATCGACTCAATAACTTATTCTGATTCTTATCCAGTTAAAGACAATTAAAGACCTTTGTTGGTTCAGCTTAAATCGACCAATGATTTATCCTAATTAATTTCCAGTAGATCTTTCTTTGGTTCAATTTAAATCGCTCAAAGATTTATTCTGATTCTCATCCAATTAAATATAAATCAAGACCTCTGTTGGTTCCCTTTAAATCGACCAATGATTTATCCTGATTCTTTTCCGATAGACGCTTTCTCTGGTTCAGTTTAAATCGTCCAAAGATTTATTCTGATTCTTATCCAGTTAGAGACAATCAAGACCTTTCTCTGGTTAAATTTAAATCGCTCAAAAATTTATTCTGATTCTCATCCAATTAAATATAAATCAAGACCTCTGCTGGTTCACTTTAAGTCGACCAGTGATTTATCCTGATTCCTTTCTGGTAGACGCTTTCTCTGGTTCAGTTTAAATCCTCCAAAGATTTATTATGATTCTTATCCAGTTAGAGACAATCAAGACCTTTCTCTATTCAGTTTAAATCGCTCAAAGATTTATTCTGATTCTTATCTAGTTAAAGAAAAATCAAGACCTCTGATGGTTCAGTTTAAATCGACCAATGATTTACCCTGATTCTTTTTTGGTAGACGCTTTCTCTAGTTCAATTTAAATCGCCCAATGATTTATTCTCATACTTATCCAGTTAAAGACAATTCAAGACCTCTGCTGGTTCAGTTTAAATCGACTAATGATTTATCCTGATTCATTTCCAGTAGACCTTTCTCTAGTTCAGTTTAAATTAACCCAGTGGTTTATCCTGATTATTTCCCATTAGGCACTTTCTATGGTTCAGTTTAAATCACCCAAAGATTTATTCTGATTCTTATTCAGTTAAAACAAACAAAGACATATGATGGTTCTGTTTAAATCATCCAAAGATTTATTCTGATACTTCTTCCAGTTGAAGTCAACAGTTATTTTGGATGGCATCTATAAGCCCATCTTGGACAACTCTTCGTCACCACTCCAAATGGCATCTATAAACCCATTCTTGATATAATCAACCAACAACGTTACCTGTTGCACAGGCGAGTGAAAAATTCTCGGCACTTAAGTGTTCAATCATCTTTTACCTTTAGGTCACGAATGGCGGACATGTCAATCTAACTCTTCAGGTTTAAGAAGATTGGAAGTGGCAGTTGTTGTACCCCAAAATTTGCGATCGCCTTTTCTTCTCAAGATATTCTTTCAAGGCTTCTCAGACACTCAAGGCACTCTAGGGTTGACTAGTCAAGATGCACCTCCTAAGTCAAAGGCCCACAACTAGGGTTTGGAGTTTCTAAAGAAAATTTGATTTGCAAAGGTTCTTGAAGCATCCTAGAACACGCAGACCAAGTAGCTCCCTTTGGGTAATATTTTAATTTTAGAATCCTTAAATCCATACGTTATAAATCGTGTTTAAGTGCATATAATCACTAACACACCTTTAGGATGTTTTTGACGTATTAGATGCAAGTTTCGAATATATTCTATTGATAATTAAATGTATCAATAAAATAAAAGTTGTTTATAATAATATGCATGTGGTGTAATTCAATAGAATATATTCCTTCAAAATGTCTAGTTAATATATATATATATATATATATATATATATATATATATATATATATATATATATATATATATATATATATATATATATATATATATATATATATATATATATATATATATATATATATATATATATTGGTTTAGTTAGAGTTGATTCGAGCATGGAGAAAAAAAACCCTAACATGAATTCAGAAGATCTTGGAGTGAAGCAATTCCGATGCGTGTACAAGTTGTGGAATTGTATTCATAAATTGGGCAGAAAACAATTTAAGCCGTCAAGAACAAACCCTAAGAAGATCCTTGATTCACTTCCCACTCTTCCTTTTGATCTCATAACAGAGATACTCTCTAGGCTACCCGTCAAAACACTTGTCCAATTCCGATGCGTCTGCAAGTCCTGGAATTCACTAATATCCGATAACAAATTCTCCAGAAAGCACTTTAACCTGTCAACCACGCACGACCTCCACGTCATAAGCTATGACGGACCCTTAAACCGTTTTGTTTTAAAGTCTTACCCACTCCAATCCGTTTTCACAGACCTAACTACCAATTTCACTCAACTTGGCTTTCCATATAACAGTCCTTTTGAACACAATTTACATTATATTGTTGGCTCTTGTGACGGAATCCTTTGTCTTGCTGATTATCATAACTCTTTTGTTGTATTGTGGAATCCTTCTATTAGAAAATTCAAGGAATTGCCTCCTTTTGAACACCCCGAACTGCCTCCAGCGGTAAAGTATGGCTTCGGCTATGATCACGTTTCTCATAATTACAAAGTGGTTGTTGTTTACGACTATAGTACTCAAGACACTACTAAAATAAAGGTTTATACTTTGACTACCAATTCTTCTTGGAGAAACATTCAGACATTACCTTTTCCTTCTGAATTTGGCTATGATCAACCAGGAATACATGTAAGGGGTACAATTAATTGGTTGGCCTATACTAAATGGCCTCTTCCACCTTTTATTGTTTCTTTTGATTTAGGCAACGAGTCTTGTCAAAAGATTTTTCCTCCTCAACATGGACTCATCGATAGGAGGTCCAGATTGTGTGTCTTGAGGGATTGCTTGTGCATAGTTTCTTATTATGATGTTTGGGTAATGAAAGACTCTTGGACTAGATTGTTCAAACTTTCTAACTTGCCAGATCAATGTGTGTCATCTTCTTTCTTGACCAAGGCATTATATATTTTTGAAGACGATCAAGTGTTGTTGCAGGAGAGATGGAAAAAGAAGTTGATCATTTACGATTTTAAGAATCATACTTTTAAGGTTACTGCTATGTTTCAAACCCTTCCAGCAATCTGCACCCAGAGTTTGATATCACCTTTATGCTAGATAATTGCATGTTTATGTTTTTTATTTTCTAATTACTAGGATAATTGCTAGGGAAATCTTTTATGTTTGGAATAATGAATTTGAAACAATATGCTTGCATTTCTTTTCTTGTTTTTAACTCTATAATTCTTAATTTGATACTAGTTGTCTTTTTAGAAATTCATAATTTGAAATTAACAGAACATCACTGTACTAATACATACCGGTTTGTTGGATGTTTTTCTAATAAAGAAATTTGCTCTCCATTTTATATAGTATCCACAACAATCTCTATTTGAAAAAAAAAATATGTTTTCTATCTTGTAATATATTGAAGACAATACGCAACTTTATTAGATTTGGCATGTTGGAAATCTGCTCAAAAATTCCAAGAATACAGTTCCAATCATTAATTTACTATACTATAAAATAGATTGATTAATGGTAAGAATTTGCCAAAACTGGACGGACACATATATGCTCTGCACACAAACACACTATGTATGGATTAGATAGGCAAATGTATTGTGTACTGCAGTCAATGGTATTATCACATAAATTTACTGCTGTTATTGTTGTTTGTGCTAGTGCTTATGATATGCTATTTGTTGCAGTAGTATAGCTATTACTCTTGATATTATTGTCTAAATCTAAAGCTTGAGATGTGTTTATGGTATATGAGGAGTTATTGTTGTTCTCTTTAGTTTGAGCTATAGATAACCTTAGTTCTTTAGACTTTTTTAGAATAATGCACAGTCTCAAAGTTCATGAATTTCTGCTCCACTCATATTTCATTATGTAGTATGTGACATAAAAACAATGTGGAAATCTGTCGCTTAAAAAATACCAAACACATAAGACTTGGCATATAACAAAGAAATACACTTCTATATCAGAAAAAGAGAGAAACATGATTCTCTATTTTTCTTTTCATTATGGATTTTGAATGTTGTATCCACATCTAGTGGTATGCAAATTTTGTAGCAACAGTTCTTGTGTTTCACAGCAGCCATTTGGTTATATATGCTCGCCGAAATTTAAACGTGCACCCAAGCTTGGTGCTAAGTGATAATGACAATGGAGTAGCAAGCAACTTAGCTTTCAAAATTTAGAAATGGTATGGTTATGTTTCAAATCTCCATTACCAAATTTACCAATATGAATGGTTATGTTTCAAATCTCCACTCAAATTGGACAGTCTTCTCAAGTTATTATTACACCAGTAATAAGTTAGTTAAGCTAACTTGTTATTCAAGTCAACTAATTAAGAACAGAGTTATAAGTATTTAGTTAAGTAGTTACGGTAGTTTCAAGTTGTTAGAGGCTTTGATTGTATAAAACCAATCTATCATAACTGCGTGTTACCTTGAAAAATCTTAAGGTATTCAAGCACGTGTATTAAATGAGGATATTCTCATAAGCTAAGGGTCATCCTCTAAAGTAGGGGTTTTTGGGAAATTGGAGCCAAAGTGTTTGAAAATTTGGTTTTATTAAACTAGATTTAATATTTAAAGGGAATGTCACGTCAAACTGTCGAAACTGAGTCAGGTCGACCAAAAGGAAATAAAAGAATATATGTTAAGAAATAGTCGAAATTGGTTTAGTCGACCAAAGGGTGAAAGACAAGAAAAATGGTCGAAATTGGTTTTTGTCAACCAAAAGGGTTTCTGGATTTAGAGGAATTGTTGTTGATTTTTAAATCTTGCCAAAGGGAAGGTGTCGAAGCGAGTCAGAAGCGGTTTACTTTCAAAAGCTAGGAGCGGGAAGATTTAAATTTCAAAGTCATCAGTAGTTGCCAGCGGTTTACAATTTGTTTAAGCGCCAAATAGGTGGCGACATCCAGTGAAGCGGTTGTCTCAAGATTTTATTATTGTCCGTAGATTTCATCGAGGCAGTTACATTGTAAATATTATAAATAAGCAGATTTAGTGTAGTTTTTTGGTGTGTTCACTTGTATGCTCAAATTACTTGTCAAAACTCTGTCATTCCGAGCGTTAGGAAACAAAGAGTGAAGAAGTGCTTGATGTACGTGAATCACCACTTTTATTTCAATGCAAATCCTTTTTTTTTCAATTATCTCTTTTGAATACTTTATTTGCTTTCTATGTACTGTCGAACAAAGTCTTTACGTTATTTTCTACTTCGCGTAAACAATTCAATACTCTCTGTCGGTTACGAGTCACTAGTCAGTTAGTTTATTGAATCTTATTTTCATATGAATACCTTTTGTCGGTCACGAGTCATCAGTCAGTCGATCGATTCATAGTGTTGAAAGTCGTTATACTTGTTCCCTTAGTCACAGAAAACCATTTTCTTTGATAAGGATTTCGATAGAATAAGTATAATAATAAAACTCTTAGCACATGTCTTAAGATCAACGGGCCGATCTTACGAGTTACCCTTAGTTTTAGGACTTTGGAAGGACCAGCGGTTGTTTTCCATTTTCCACAGTAAAAAAATTGGCACGCCCAGTGGGACACAATGCTAAGAATTTGTCTTAAGTGTATGCAGCTTAGAAACGGAAAGTTAACCAAAGAGTATAATAAACCATCATTTAGGAAGCATATATTAAGAATGACAATTCCTGATAATCCAAACGTAGACGAAATAACGTCACGAACTTTAACCACTACTGAACCAGTAGTTTCTCAACTTGCACCTTTTCCTCCAGTCGGGTCAACTGCAGCAGGTTCCGCACAAATTTCTCAGGCTCCACCGAGAAGCCCAAGGCCTGTAATGACTATGACCACCATACCTAATGTGCCTCGTTTTGGTAATGTGGATCCTGTTTATGGAATGTCGTATTCCATAATTCCAGGATACCAGTCGACGTCGAATGCAGCAGTGGTGTCAGATAATATTCAAAATTTGAACTCCCCTTTATACGGATCTGCACCAGGAGGAAATAATAGAGGCAACCAAATTAGAGGAGTGCCTTCTCAACTAATAGTATCGCCTCTCACTAACACTTCAGTAGCAGTGTTAAGGAAACAAATGGATGATAGTAACCATGAGTTGGTTAATATGTTAACTAACCAAATGGGTAATGTATATAATCCTATAGTACAAGAGTCGACTGAGACTAATAGGCAGTCCGCTGAAACAAATCGACAGGTGATTGCCCAATTAACACGTTTGTGTAATTTTTTAGGTGCTCCCCCAGCACCTATTCGACAGGCGCCACTTGTTCGACTAGATGCCCCTGATCAAATGGACATGAGGGTAATACAGGATGAAACTGTCCATCAGGGACAAGTGCTAGTACCTCCAAGGAATTTGATTGTCGATCCACCTAGGGCATTAGTACATCGACATCAAGAGGCTGATCAAATTGTTGAACAAATTCGACAAGAGGATTTAGCCGTAGAAAATAATCTAACCACCACTGTCGAAAGAATTATGGCTAGAAATGGTATGAATACCACACTTCAGAGGCCAACATATTATTCCCATTTGTCTGAATATATCTTACAGACTGAAAACCCTAGAGGATGGAAAATTCCTAAGTATACAAAATTCGGGGGAGAATCTGGAGAGTCGACAGTGGAACATATTGCTAGGTATTTGACTGAATCTGGGGATATGTCGAATAATGAAAACTTAAGGGTAAAACATTTTCCTTCTTCCTTTACTAAGGCAGCTTTCATGTGGTTTACCACTTTGCCTCCAAATTCGATTGACTCGTGGACTAAGTTGGAAAAACTTTTCCATGAACAGTTTTGTGAGAGTCATTCGAAAATTAGTTTGGTTGAATTGTTAAACATTAAAAGAAGGTTTGCTGAAACCATTGATGATTATCTAAAGAGATTTAGGTCATTGAAAGCAAGATGCTTTACTCAAGTATTAGAACACGAGCTTGTTCAAATGGCTGCTGGAGGTTTAGATTATTCCATTATGAAGAAAATAGATCTGACCTTCGTGAAGAGTATGTCACAGTTAGCTGATAGAGTTCGACATCTAGGGCGTATGTGACTAGAAAAGGTCAGATATACTAAGGCTAGGACTAAGAAAGAAAAAGTAGCCTTCATAGATTATGATGACACAGATCCCATTTGTGAGGCCGACTATACCTCACCAACAGAGGCAGAGGTCGACGTGGCTGAAATGAAGCCAGGGCCATAAAATGAATGTAAATCACTATTTCCTTCTAAAGGAAAAAATACGGTCGAAAAAAATCCAAAATTTCCAGCAAAAACTTATACGTTTGATGTCACTAAATGTGAAGAAATTTTTTATTTGTTAGTTAAAGATGGTCAAATTTTAGTACCTCCAGGTGCTAAGTTACCATCATTAGAACAACGACAGAAAAGAGGTTTTTGTAAATTTCATAATTATCTTGATCACACAACCTCTCAATGTTATCTTTTCAGGGATCTCGTACAAAAACCCAGGTCATAAAGGTCATAGGCGCGCGCTTATACCACTGGGGTGGCTATACATCCATAAACATATATTATAAACGTGCTCCTGACTGTGTCACTTTCTTCTTCCTCGCGCCATCTCCTTCATCACCATTTTTAAATTTTGTAACTTGCTTATTTCTCAACCATTCTCAAAAGTGAAAACATCAAACTTGTTAAAAATTTCACCACCATTCCAGATATGTAACTAACTTAAACAATGGATCAAAGATGAATAAAAATTTTAACTGGTACCAAATCTGACTTAAATATTTCAGAAAGTTCAAACTTGAAATTCACACTACTCAGGAAATATAAGTGAAATATAAGGGCATGGTTAGCTTCAGGGCTATGATGTCTACATTTTATCTTCACAAATAGAATCAAATGATGCTTGTATGAAGAGTTAAAAGTCCAGAAAACTTACCGTGCAGATGGATATCGTGTTTTGAGTTTGAGCAGCTTTCAAGGTGTTGCCATGATCTGGTTAGCTTCCTTGAACCTTTAGGAAGATAAAGTAATGCTTAGCTTGAGTTGCAAATAGTTGAATCGTGCTATAGAAGTCAATGTTCAAGCTTCTGATTTTGGTTATGGAGGATGAAGAAAATGGTGTTACAGAAC